GGGGGGGGGGGGGGGGGGGTAACGGTTCATAATGAAAGGGTTCATCCAGAGTCGAACAGAAGCCAACTCACAGCAATGTTGCTTCATTTTGCTGGTATCGATTGTCGGCATTGCTCTTTTCTCTCTTTCTCTGATGCCCATGGAACTGCAGAAGCAGTGAATTACTGACAACAAAAATTGAGCTCAAAGCCATCATCCCCCCTGCAAAAAGACAAATTATGGCAACCCTTAGAAGTTTGAATGATCGCAATGAATAAATAGTAACATGCATGTATACAAGTCATTTCTTTGTCATAGTCCATGGGATCCTTGTCTAATTGTTTTGCTAGAAAAGGCAATGACACGGGCATCTTCAATGAAAGACCTCAGATAAGTAGAGTACTTACCGGAAAGAGAAGGTGTCATAGCAAAATCAAAATGAGGAAGTAGTATTCCAGCTGCCATAGGAATTGCAACAACATTATATGCTACTGCCCAAGTCAAATTTTGACGAACTTTTCCCATTGTTGCCCTTGCAAGGTCTATTGCCTCTACTACCTGCCACCGATTCCAGGTAAAATATTCCTCAGTCGAACGAGATTGTAAGGAAATATCAACATTAAATTTCATTATTGGCAACTAATAAAATTGAGCTCTGAAAATACTGACGTAAGATAAACAAAAGAAAGGTTCTTCATAATAACAGAAAAATACTACCATAAATTATCAGTATTTTGCTGTAATACCAAAGGAACATTATTTACTTCTTTACTCTTTATTTGTAAGATTCAACAATTTGTTTCTGCTTGATGTTTAAAAACGTGTGGACGTTATTCATTGTAAATCTAAAAAAGACACCAAGTACCATGATAAAGAACAATGGGTGAGTGTGAAGTAGAACAGATAGTGATAGAGAGAGAAGAATTAAAGAATTAGAGAGCAACTTGCAGAGAAATTTCGATATGTTGTGTATCATAAATCTCCATTATTCAGAATTGTCATTCCTGTTTATACTTAATATCTGTGATGAAAAGGGAAAAATTTCCAACTCAAAACTAGGCCCGGGCGTGGCCAAGAAGTGGAACTGAACTGATAATTAATGGTTCTTTGATAATGGAATCATTGGTTCCCTTTGTAGATTTGGAACCGAATTGTTCCAGTTTGGTTCGGTTCCGGCAACAAACTTTTGAAAAAAAAAAGTGAAAAAGAATTTAAAAGGGGTTAATTACTTAATTGGTTTTAAAACCCTCAAAAAATAGAAATGGCTCGAATGATTCTGGTTCTTTGGCTGCCTCCTACTCAAAACTAATAATCTTGATAAGAAAATAGATCAGAATCAATTTCCTATTTTTATGCCTAAAATAACAGCGTATTTTTGGAATGTCTCCAATTCAAGTCTGTATCACAATCTCCACCAGCGTGATAAGAAGAAAATGCAAACCTGTGAAAGTCTATTTCCGAGAAGTATAATGGATGCTGCATTAGATGCCGCATTTTCTTGTCCTTCAATTCGCAAGGCAATGCCAACGTCAGCAAGGGCAAGAGAAGGTGCATCATTGATGCCATCACCAACCTTCACAAAGCACAAAACATATAGTTTAATAGTTCTGAATATCAATTTCCACCACTTGTCTCCAAAATTGATGACAAATCTTCGTGTGAATACACATAATCGTCCTAGTTTTCAATAATGAAAAGTAAACAGTCCAGCATAGTCAAATGATCAGGCAGTGCATTGTCCAAGAAACAGTTCTCACCAATAAAATTGCCAAGTCGAAAGTATTCAAACTACAAAGCAGAACTTCTAATAATTGGTGTAAAGAGTGCTATTTCCCAATATCAAGCTTATTTGTTCGATAAGAACATTTAATAAAAAGTCATTTCAAATTTTCAACTTGGGAAAATTACCATTGCAACATGATGGCCAGACTCCTGAAGACTTGAGATGATGCCAGATTTTTGCTGTGGCATTAAGGAAGCATTGACAAATTCATTGTCGATGCCGACTGTCTTTGCTACAGTTGCAACTGCCTCTTCCCTGTCCCCAGATAAGAGGACTGTTTTAATTCCCTTCTGCTGAAGCCTTTCATGCATTAAAGGTGGAAAGATATGAGAAAGGTTGAATATGAGAAAGGTACTTAAGAATAGCCAACATGATAGTTATGTACATATTACTTCATATGAAGTAATTCCTGCTTTTGGCCAAGCTAAATAATATAAGTCCCAAATTGAGATACAGTCCATTCCTTAGATTTTTATGTACTAATGTAAGGGTGTGTTTGATGGATATTATTGAGGAAATAATATATTCTAAATAGTGATATGACGGAAAATGTATTGTTAAAAAGTAAGGAAAAGTTATTGATGTGATGAAAAATATTATTTTATTGAAAAATGTGTGGTTGAAAATGAGTTACGATATAATGTATTTTGAAAGAATGTGTCGAACAGGGCTAAGATGAGGATTACTTTGGGTCCTATTCTGTTTCGTGAAGAGTAATTAGTACCTAGTTATTGTAGATTTAGCATCAGGACGCAAATTATCGGATATCGCAATCGCACCAATGATGCCTTCTCCTTCCCGGCCAACATAAACAACTGTACTTGAATGGTTTGATGATGAACTAGTTGCTGATGACTGAGATATCACAGACTGCTCCAATCTCTTTAGATCGAAAGAGCTTGTTCTTCGCTGGAAACGTTCACAAACCCAGTTCAATTTGCCTACTGCTACTAGCAGCCCATCTACCTCTGCCAAGGTTCCAGAACCTGGTTCAGTCAACTGTCTATTTGTGATGGGGATGCTCAAATTCAATGATTCAGCTTTAGTTATAATGGCCTTCGCAATTGGATGTGAAGCTGTTTTTTCTACTGCAGCAGCAATTCGAAGTATTTCTGATTCTTCATGACCCAGAGATGCAAGAGCTGAAACAGCAGGTTTTCCTTCAGTGAGAGTTCCAGTCTGAATGTCAAAATTAACCAAGATAACAGTGAGCCTCAAATCAACATGTGGCAATGTTTCTTTTTTTACATGTCTTTTTCTTTAGATATCTAGCAGATAGCTTCTATAAATATTTTACTTTCTAAACTAAATTCATATAATACAGAAAATAGATTTTACTTGGATCCATACTTTATCCAAAGTGATGTAATCTATCCCTGCCAAGCGTTCCAATACATCTCCTCCTCTAATAAGAAGTCCTTGTTTTGCTCCTGTTATCAGTAGAAAAAGAAAATGTAAAGTTTCCAACCTTATGGTCATATTAGCATCAAAGTAAATCAAGATCAAGATTCGTAAACACTCAAAAGTTCAAGATCTGATGCATCCTAAGGCGCTGAAAATTATTATAGAACATATAACTAGCTGCAGTCTGCTTGAGTATCAAACAGAACTCAAAGCATCAAATCCTTAATTAGATTGTAATAAAGTTGACTAATACATATAAATCACTAATTGACAAAACAACAAAGTGGGGGCATATTACACTTCATCTGGACATTTCCATTTCTAAGCTGACAGTAGTTAATAAAAACTAAATGTTGATCCAAATGAGAACAAAATCATGAAGCTGAAGTCCTTAAGAAGGAAGATCCATAGTATGTGAACTGTCCTATTAATCTGTGTAGAAATGGATGATTTAACTCAGCAAAGGATAATTTTGGTGCAGCGAAGCAGGAAAAAGAAAAAAAGCGGAAAAAAGTAATGCCACATGGAATCAAATTGTAAATAATGTGCCCCCATTTTTTTCTCGAAGTCTATCAATAGTTACAACCTCAAGAGGGTTCCAGGAAATAAATCTAAGAACATACCAAGAGAGGTGCCAACTAGAATCGCGGTTGGTGTTGCAAGGCCTAGAGCACACGGACAAGAAACAACCTGGTAAAGAAAATAAAGCAAATCAAGACAAAAGCAACTTAAACAAGTGTATTCTGCAAGCCATATAGAGGATTACTATGGAGATCCTGTTACATATATTTTTTGAATACTTTCCAAGCTTAGATTCTTAACTTGGGAAAAGTACAAATTTTCTAGTCTTTTATTAGGCCCTTGTTTGATCCCCATTATTTCGAAAATACACTTTCGTCTCTTTTCTTTTCAACCACACATTTTTCAATAAAATAATATTACACACAAACTCAAAAAATTTCCTTATTTTTTAACCACACACTCTCCATCAATCTACTATTCTAAAATTTATTCTTACAATAAAATGGAGCTCAAACATGCTCTAGTTGTTTCTTACTTAAATTAAATTAGCATAAACCCTATATAAAAGATGGCTTATGCATTGTAATAGTAAGACTTGACTAATGAACACAAACAACTTCCTCTTTCCCAATTCTCTCCCATCTTTTTCTATAATTCTGGTTCTTTGTTCATTACATCCTCCATCAATTACTTAACATGATGCATAGTTTGTATATCTTGAGACTACTTTTAGCAATCTCAGAAAAATTATTAAAATATGACTGTCTATATCATGTTTATGGGTTCTGCATGCCATGTAGAAGATTAATGCATGGTTTGTACACTACAATGCTTAGCAATTTTAGAAAATTTATTTATACATGACAATGACAGCCTAAAAGGTGGAAATAAAGACAAATTTTACATAT